CTAAGAGAATAAGTCATAAATTTTCTCACCACAGCAAAGAAATGATAATTATATGATGTGAACATATATATACATAAATGTTAGCTAACACTACGGTGGTAATCATTTTGCAATACATAGTGTATTGAATCAAATCACTGTACACCTTAAACTTGCACAACGTTGTATGTCAATTATATCTTAATATTTTTAAAAAGCTGGATAAAAGAAGTTCACTAGCATGGTTTTAAATCCCATGTTGCCATAACCTTTAAGAAACTACCACTTGTCAAGTTTTGATATAGTATCAAAGAACATCCACAGTTATCTGAGAAGGTACCTTAATGCTCCTTTTCTAGTTACATGGACTTCAACCTCACAACATACTGCAGCAGATTGAAGCAATACCCCATGTGAGAAGACAGTTGTCTTCTATGAAGCCAGACTCTTGAAAGACCTACAAAAATGTAAAACAATGCCACTCTTCTGGGTTTTTTTGTTTCAGAAGAGTCGTTTTTCATAAAATATGTTATGTGAACATGTAAGACATTTATTTTTGTTTTAAAATAAAATTGTAATTACATTAAAAATTTCTCAGTTTTAATATCTAATAGGCAAATTTCAAAAATATAACCCACATAAATTGAATCTCTTTGGGGTCCTCAACAATTTTTAAGGTGTACACACAGCTGCATATCTCATGCATTATACCTAGCAAAACTTCCAATAATTGTAAATTGATATTATTTGATATCCAATCTATGCTCACATGTCAAACATGTCCTCTTATGTATTGTTCAAATCCAAAACCAAACAAGGTGTACACACTGCACTTTGTGACTAAGTTTCTTATGTGTCTTTATTCCACAGTGATCCCCCTCCCCTTCTTTTAAAAATGTTTCCTTATATCCTTGATTGTTGGTAAAACTTGGTAATTTTTCTTGTACAATGTCCCGCATTCTAGATTTAGATGATTGATTCATTGTGGTATCATTTAATTTATTTCTCTATCCCATATATTTTCTGTAAACTGGAAAGCTAGAGGTTTGATTAGACTTGGGTTCACTTCTAAACTGGGTGACCTGGATGAAAGTCTTAACCTTTCTCTATCTATTCCTTTACTGGTAAATTGAAGATAATAATGGTAACTCCTTCAATGGGTTGGTATCAGGATTAAATATATTAAAACAAGTAAAATACTTAGAGCAGTGCTTGACATCCAATAAATGGTAGCTATTACTATTATCTGAGGAAAGCTTCCAATTTGAAAGCCAGAGATGAAATTAAACTACAGAGACAATCAAGAAGGTGGAAAAAAATGGCAGAAAATTACTATTGATATACTCAGAAATAAGAATTCAAAAATCCTGAATCCACAACACAAAAGCAAGAGGCTATCAAATGGGAAGTCTGAGAACCAGCAAAAACTCTTGGAAATTAAAATTTTATAGCAGAAATGAAATAAAGCAGTAGAAGAACTAGAGGATGAAATTCAGGAAAATCTCTTGTGAAGTAGAATAACCAAAACCAGGAGAGGGAAAATGGGAGAGAATGGATTTTAAAAAGAGGGAAATCTATCACAGAGAGGTTTCCCAGAATTGAAGACTATGTTTCCTGACTGAAAGGGACCCCTGAGTGCCAAGCACAATGAATGAAAAGACTTACCAGGACATACCACCATGAAGGTTCAGAACGCCAAGAATGAAGGAAACTATATATCCTAAAAACTTCCTGAAACAAATAAGGAAACAAAATTTACATAGGAAGTAACAGAATTCAGAGTAAGTCAGACTCCTCAAGAGTCCAGTCACGTGAGAAGCTAGACAACAACTGATCATTGCCTGTAAAATTCTGAGGGAAAATGACTTCCAGTCTGGAAATCTGTGCCCCACCCAACTGTCAAGTGTGAGAGTAAAATAAAGGCATTTTTAGACAAGCAAGGTTTCAAAAAATTTACCTCCCATGACCCCTTCAGGAAAGTTACTGGAGAATGTGCTCCTTCAAAATGAGAGAATAAGCCACAAAAAGGAAGATACAGGAGACAGGGAGTTTTGCACAGGAGTTCCCAGAACATGGTTAGGGGAAGTCCTAGGACAACAGCTGGAGCAAGAGTAGGGTGGGATGTCTGCAAGGAAAAAGGTCCCTGAAAGATCGCCAGACCATGTGACTAGACTGAGTTGTTTTATAGTCCTGATGGAGAGCTTTCAGAAGAATTAACCATCAATGCATAGATAATGAAGTGAATGAAAAAAACAGGCAATTTTTGACTCCAGGAGAAAAAGGAGTTGTTCAATAAAGTGAATGTGATCCCAGTACAGTATATGCCACAACTGTAAAAATATCTATAGTTATATAAACTCTGACTCAACTAACCGGGGAATTTTGCAAACTGGCTAAGAGTCCATTGACAGTTCTGAGAGAGAGAAATAAAGAGTGATCATAAACTCGTGGAAGAAGACCATGCAGGGGGCTTTCACTCCCTCCTGGCTCCAGCCCTCACCTCCCCGATGAGGAACCCCCAAACCAGTATCTCCACACCAGTGTCCTTCTGGGGTATGACTCTTCTTGCCTCTTGCCCCTGTAAATATAAACTAACTCTCTCTCTTTCTTCCTCAAACACATAAACCTCTAACTTACCCTTTTCCTCATCCTTTCCCAAGCCAGCTCATCAAACCTTCACTTATCAGTGGCCCCACTATTTTTCTAATCTCCCACTTTGGCCTTCCGCTCCTTCATGGCCACTCTGCCTGTGGATTTCTAAAGTCTTCCAAAGGTCCCTGCCCTGTCTCCAGCTGTTATCTAACCCAGAGCTTTTATGAAGTTTATAAATGGTCGAATGTGACACAGATGTAAAAATACTACTATTATGCCAAGATTTCTAAAATAGACTCTGGCTTGGTTACTTTTATTAATAATATATAATAATCCAGTCAACATTTCTATACGAGTTTAAAGGCATTTACTATACTTTCTGCTTTCAGAGGGAAATGTTGCTGAAGTGTAAATGTTTTCATTTTAGAAATTTTGGAAAATACAGAAAAGTACACAGAAGGTAAAAAGAATCTCTACTCTTAATTTGGATTTACATTTTGGTGTGTTTTCATCTAGTCTCTTCCATGTGTATATAATAATCTTTTTTGAAAGAATAAAACAAATATTGTGATTATGTTGTACATGCCTCTTTGCAACTTCATTTAATATACTAAAAACATTTTAGTATGTCAATAAATATTCATCTGTGTACTTTTAATGGCTGCATAGAATTATAGCCATTATAGCCATACTATCAATTATTTAACCAACTGTATTACAAATATTTTGGTTCCAGTCTTTTACTCTTAGAAATAGTGCTCTCTCTGATTATTTAGTTAGAACAACTTAGAAGCGGAGTTGCTGAATCAAAGATTGGGCTCATTTCTTTTTATTGCAGTAAAAAAAAAACCAACCACATAAATAAAATTAACCACCTAGTTTTCAAACGTAGTTAATTACAGTGGCATTAACTATGTGCACATTGTTGTTCAGTAGATCTCTAGGACTTTTCTCTTGCAAAACTGAAACTACATGTTCATTGAACAACCTCCTTTTTCCTTCCTCCCCTAGTTCCTCGCAATCGCCAGTCTACTTTCTAAGAGTTTGACTACTTTAGATAGTCTATTACTTCATATAAATGGGATCATGTGGTATTTGTCTTTTTGTGGGGTTGTGCTCATTTTTAAAGCTTTTGGTATGTAGTGCTAAACTTGCTTCCAAAAAAGTTGTGACAATTTACTCTTTGCCTGAAAGCATGTGAGTGTCCTTCCAGGCTATCTCCTCACTGTTTGCTTAGTATTCACCGTTTGTTTCAGTCCTTGCCAAGCCCTTAAAGGAACAAAAGTAATGGACCCAGCACATATTCCTTCGGATAGGTCATTGCCCTATTCCTGAAATCTGGCTGAAATACTTGCTGGGGCACTTACTAGCTGTGTAATCTTTGGACGAGTCCCTGTAAAATGGGGTTTAATAATATTATATACACTTATTATGAGGAAAAACGAGCTAACTACTGTGAAGCTGTAAGAACAGGCCTGGAACATAGCCCAGAGAGAGATAGCTATTGTTACTGTTTTGTTATCTTTATTGTTATTAGACTGAACAGGATTTCTGTTGTCAAAGCAGTTATCTACCATTTTCTTCAATCCTTGCTAATCTAATAGATGAAAAATGATATGATTCCATTTCTAAGAAATTTTAGAACGGGTAAACCTATAGGGACAAAGCAGATCAGTGGGTGCCTGGACCTCAGGGGGGAGAGCTGAAAATAAAAGGGCTACAGAGAAGGGCTACAGGGAAATTCTGGGAGTCATGGGAATGTTCTGTACACTATCTGTGGTGGTGGTTACAATGGTAGCCAGTTACCGCACTCGTTGAACCATACATGTAAAAGAGTTGTATTTGATTACATGTGAATTATACCAAAATAAAGTTGATTTTAAAAGAAAAAAATGAAAAAAAATGATAGCCGGCTATTTTAAATTGAAAATTAGTTTTGAAATGTGATTATAAAAATAATTATAAACTTACCAGTTATCAGTGAATTGAACGTTTCTCTATATTTGTATGTCTATTTATACTTATCACGATTTCCTTTTTCAAAGCATTGTGGCAAACAGAATCTCACTTATCTTCCTAATATGCTGGTAAATCAACAAGGCAGCAATCAGCACCCCCACTTTCCGAATTAAGAAACCGAGGCTCAGCAAGTTCCAGTTCTAGTTTAGTTTTCAGATCTCACCCCTCCAAGCCCAGCAGCAATCCCAGTAAAGATCCCCGGGAGAAGCTTCAGCAGGTCAGAATCACCCCTGGCCCAGGCCATGGCCGATGCAGGGACCCACGCCCCCAACCAAGCTCTCTGCGCACACGCGGCCCACCCTGGGGGCGAGGCCTCGGAGCGCCCCGCCCCCCTTCCCCGCCCCCGCTCCTGGCCCCTCCCCGCCCATCGGAGGCTCGGAGGGCCCGCAACTCCAGGCCAGGAGGTAGGGAGAGGCCGGGGTGCCCCGCGTGGGGCCTGGTCCGCGCGCGGTGGGGCCCCACAGTCCCACGGCTGCGGAGGGAAGTCACTAGCTCCCGAGCACCGCCTGCCCCCCGCCGCCATTTTGCACCCGGAGCGTGCCGCTGCGGGCCGGGTGGGGCGGCCGAGGGCGGCGTGCCGGGCGGGCAGCGCTGAGACGCAACTGTCGGGCCCGGCCGCGGTGGGAAAGCCCTGGCCGGCAGACGGGGGCCGTGCGACGCCCCGGCCTCTCCGCTTCCGCGCCTCGAGAGCGCGGCTGGCTGGTGCCCCGGCGGGCTCACAGTGTGACAGCCCCACGCTGGGTACAGCACGCCCCGTGTGTGAAATGCTTTCACACCCTTCTCGTTTGGGCCCACACGGCAGCTCCTGGCAGGAGGCCGGGGAATGGACTGTTGTTCCATTGTGCAGACAGAGAAAACTAAGGCTCAGAGTTGGAGGCAGGTTTTCCTAGGGGCGCCCCGCGAAGTCGTGGCGGTGGGACTCAGCCCTTACCCCTTCAAATCCAGTGCCCTGTCCCCTGGGCCACTCTGCCTAACCTGTCAAAGGAAAGCGCTGGGCTGGGATTCGTTAGGCCAATGACTGGCAGTTCTTTTTCTTTCTTTCCTAACTTTCCTTTCTTTCTCTGCCCCCACCCCCACCCCCTTTTTGTTTTTTTAAGATCAGCCTCTTTCTGTACCATCCAGGTCAGAGCTAAGAAGTATTCAGAAGCCGAGTCATGGATCCACCTGCTCGGAAAGAAAAATCCAAAGTTAAAGAACCTGTCAGCAGAGTTGAGAAGGTCAAGCAGAAATCAGCCCAGCAGGAGCTGAAGCAGAGACAAAGAGCAGAGGTGAGATCAAGGAGGGGCATGTATACGTGTAGTCTGCTGGAGATGATGCTGGAACAGAAATAGTAGAGAACTGGGATAGGGAGCGCTCTGCTGCCAGGCAGCACAGGTGTGCAGCCAGGTGTAGAAACGAGCTCTCTGAGGTCACAAACGGGGTGGTGGCAACGCAGTCTCATGGCAAGTTAGCGTCTCATGGCAAGGCCCTGGCGTACCAGGTCTCTAGATGACTCCTAGCCCAGAGCTTTTGTGATAGGGACCTGAGGGTAGGAAGAGAGGAGAAGGTGAAGAGACATGTAGGGGTGGGGTCAGGGTGAGGGAGAGCAAGCGTCAGACACCCCCAGCACATGTTCTGAATTTGGCCTGGAGAGGAGGTGCTTATAACCAGGAAGTAGAGGCCCAAGCTCTGCGCCCACCACTGTATCCCTTCATTCAGTCAACAATCAACCTGAGAATTAAAAGCTGAAACTGTTTACATGGCCTGTGTTGAACTACATCCAGCTATGAGTGCCCTTGAACAATGTGGGGGCCGTAGGGGTATGACCCCTTCCCTACCCCACTCGAACATCTGTATAACTTTTGACCTTCCCAGAACTTAGCTGCTAATAGCTTACTGTTGACCATAAGCCTTCCTGGTAACAGTTGATTAACACATACTTTGTATATATATTACATACTGCCTTCTTATAATAAAGTAAGATAGAAAAAAAAATTTATCCAAATTGTCATAAATCCCCAAAAAATTTCTAATACATTTATTGAAAAATATCTGTACGTAAGTGGACCTGCATAGTTCAAACCTGTGCTGTTCAATCAGCTGTATTTTATTTTACTATTTAGTATCAGGAAAAAGCTTGCTGTACTCTTTTCCCTCTATTTGTTTTGTTCATTTACTTTTTTTTGAGAAATTTAAAAATACAGATAAATAGACTGTTTTAACAAACACCTGGGTACTCAGCACCCCAGATTGGTAGTGGTTAACATTTTGTCGTAGTTGCCTGGAGTTTTCTTTAAATAAGATAAATATAAATTACATATCAATATGAAGTCTCCTTTGTCCATTCCCTGTTTTATACCTTTTTTGCCCTCCCTATGGGCAACAGTTATTTTTTATACTTTGATACTCAAGTGTATTAATAGGTATCCTTGGAAAGCATGCAATGTTCTTTTGCTTAAAAATTTTACATTAATACAGTTCTATGTCTTATTTTCATTTTGCTTACATTATGTGTTTTAGAACTACTCATGTTAACACAAGAATCTAGTTTATCCTCATTCTCATACTAGCTTATAGTAGTCTGTTTTATGAATCCACTTATTTATCCATTCCTCCAGTGATGGACATTTAAATTACTTATAGTTTTGTGCTACTACAATCATTGCTGTAGTGAAGAACTTTAGATGTCTCCTTTGACACCTATGCTAGAATTTCTGTAGGGTGTATATAACTAGAAGTAGAAGTAGAATTACTGGGTACATTTCAATTTTATTGGCCATGGCCAAATTGCTTTCAAAGAGACTGTATAAGTTTGCACCCCCATTAGCAGTGTAAGAGAGTTCTCATTCTCACTTCTTTTCCAAAGCTCGATAGTGGCAGACTATATTTTTGTTAATCTGATCCATTCATTAAACAAATATTTAGCTGCTGCTATGTGCCAGGCACTGTTGTAGGAACTTGAGATGCAGCCTGGACAAGGCAGAGAAGAGTCCTTGCATTTGTGGAGCTTGCACTCAGCAGGGAAGCAGACAGGAAATGTAATAAATATATTTAGTAGTGTGCTTGAAGTTAATCCATAAACTGAAATTTACCTCTGGATAAAGATAGACCACGTGAGAGCTGTGGACCTGGATTCTAACAAATTGTCTTCCCCTTTCCATCACCACCCCATCCCTACCTAGATCTAAGGCGCCAGATGATTTTACTGCAATTGCACATTGATGAATAGTTTCAGGGCTGCTAGAAGAAACAGGAAACTGTCCTTTGTGCACACTGTAGGGAGAGATGTTGTTGAGGACTTTGTTCATGTCCTTATTGATGTCCTTCTAGTGAGGTTCCACCAGTAAGATTCCTGTGTCTGACTTCACATCCCAGTTCTTCCCACGTGACCTTGGCCAAGACATGTAACCTCTCTGAACCCCCATTCTCATTCCTCCTTGGTAAAATGAGATGGTAATAGCTACCTCACAAGCTTGTTATCAGGACAGAAATGTTATATGGAAGCACTTATCACACTGCCTGGCACAGAGGAAGCACTCAGTAAACAGCCACAGTTGTTTTCCAGAATCCTTGTGCTTCCAAGTAGTCGGCTTGCTTTTGTCATGTGGACTCAAAATCGAATGGCTGATGGTGCTTATGGTGACTTCTGGAATGTATACTGGATTTGCTCTCTAGCAGCAGCTGCCACTTGTTGAGCTCTTCAGATGTGCCAGGCACCAGCCAGCCACACGTGCACGACCTTGTGTCCTCACAGCAGGCCTATTGCTTACTCCCATTTCAACCTTTGTAAATCCTTCCTGGGGTAAGGTAAGGAGATATCAAATACCTGCCTTTATGAGGTAGAAGGATTTCTCCTTATTTCAAAGTCAAGAGATCTGACCAGAATCCCTAGTGGATGAGGGATTGAGGGACAGGACAGCAATCTAAAACAGATCTGACCTTCACCTACAGCCACCTTGCTGTTTCTTCATCTGTGTTGCCTGGAATGTAATCTCCTAAAATAGGAATGTGACATCTTAGACCCGTTGCAGGGAGGAAGTGACACAGTTCCATTCAATTCTACAAAGATGTCACATTCCAGAAAGTTCAGTGGGAAGGAGACATGAGAGTGAATGGGAACAGAAGGCGTATTTGGCAGTTGAGATAGCTTTTTTTTTTTTTTTTAACAAAGTCAAATGCTTTAATGCCTATTACCAGAGGCTAGGGAGGAAAGGGGAGTTATTAATCAACAGACATGAAGGTTCAGTGAGCAAGATGAATAAGGTCTAGAGATTTGCTGTACAACATTGTGTCAGTACATTAATAATAATGTTTTTCACACTTAAACTTTAAAAGGGTAGATTTCATGTTGTGTTTTTATCATAACATTAAGAAAGAATAACAAAATAATTGATAGGTGTTTCCCATGGGAAAAAAAAGTGTATATCAGTGATACCTTAATAAAAATAATCTATAGCTTTAGGTTTTAAATTTAAATCTGTGATACATTTTGTGTTTATTTTTTTTTTGAGAGGGCATCTCATATTTATTGATCAAATGGTTGTTAACAACAATAAAATTCTGTATAGGGGGGTCAATGCTCAGTGCACAATCATTAATCCATCTCAAGCCTAATTCTCATCAGTCTCTAATCTTCTGAAGCATAACGAACAAGTTCTTACATGGTGAACGAATTCTTACATAGTGAATAAGTTCTTACATGGTGAACAGTACAAGGGGAGATAGCTTTTGACACTGCTGGTGACCCTCTCCTTTCTGAAAGTATTTCATTCCTTGGCTTAGTCCCCCAGACCATTTTGAGACCCTTCTTCTACCAGCCTGCCTCCTTGATGCAGAGGTTTCCAAGAAGCTACTGAAAATCCTCCTCAATCCCTAGCAAAGAAATGTGCAGATTGCAAATGCTCAGTAAGGCATGAATGGGTGAAACAGAGATTTAACATATATGTATATGTGTGTGTGTGTGTGTGTGTGTGGCTTAAAGAAGATGAATAAAACCAGCACCCTTGTACCTACCACCCAGCTAAAAAACTAGAACATGAGTGGTAACTTAGAAGCTCCTCAGGCCCTACTCCAGCCATGTTCCCGCCCCTGCCCACTGGCAGTGCCCTTACTCCTTAATTTTGTGCTAATCGCTCCCTTCTGTGCTGAATGAACTATTTCCATGTATACCCCTAAATAATATTTTGTAGCATAACAATATATTGTCTAGTTTTGCATGTTTCTGAACTTTATATGTTACCTACTCTGTGACTGGCTCTCTTCACTCACCAACTTTTTTTTTAACCATTCAGATTTATTTGTTTTTGTTGTGATAAAGTATATATACCAGCCAACTTAACCATCTTAGCCATCAGTATTACGCTTCTTAAGATTCATTTGTGTTGATGCATGTAACTATTTTCATCAATGTGAGGAGTTCCATTTCCCTTAAAGATTATAGGATCTTGCCACAATAAAAAAATTGGAAGAAGGCATCAAGCTTTCTACTTAATTCTACTCGGTTTTGATCATTTTATTCTTTCAAGGAGTTTCTTTCATTTAAATTTCAAACTTACTGACACAAAGTTGATAATCTTTTGTTTAAATCTCCTTTATAGCAGTCTTAATATTTTCTTCTTAATTCTAACAGTGTTTGTGTCCACTCCCGTTTTATCTAGATCAGGCATGTCAGGTTTGCAAGATTTTCTTTAGCATTTTCAAAGAACCGTCTTGCAGTTTGGTGAGCCTCTCCACTGCACATCTGGTTGCCTTTTCATTAACTTCTGCTCTTAGTGTGTATTTTCTGTTTGTCTCACTTCTCAGTTTCTTCCTGCCTTTTCTTGTTTTCTTTTTAATTAGTCAAGTTATATCCAATACATACAAATACACCCCTTCATTTTTTTCTTCTACAAATTAGGAAGTTTCATGCTGTTTCTGTTCTTTAGTGGACAGACTGATACTGCAAGGATAAAGAAGCTGAGGAATAAGGTAGACACCCTGCCTTTCACCTCAGAATGTCTTGTGTGGTTTTCTTTCCACCCCCACTACCTGCCTAGATTCCTTCCACCTCTTCCCTGGACTAATGTACTAGATGCCTCCAAAGTGGCCTGTCATTTCTGTTCCCCATACTCCACCCCTCACATGGTCTCCAGTTATCTTTCCAACAACACTCAGTAAACAGCCACAGTTGTTTTCCAGAATCCTTGTGCTTCCAAGTAGTCGGCTTGCTTTTGTCATGTGGACTCAAAATCGAATGGCTGATGGTGCTTATGGTGACTTCTGGAATGTATACTGGATTTGCTCTCTAGCAGCAGCTGCCACTTGTTGAGCTCTTCAGATGTGCCAGGCACCAGCCAGCCACACGTGCACGACCTTGTGTCCTCACAGCAGGCCTATTGCTTACTCCCATTTCAACCTTTGTAAATCCTTCCTGGGGTAAGGTAAGGAGATATCAAATACCTGCCTTTATGAGGTAGAAGGATTTCTCCTTATTTCAAAGTCAAGAGATCTGACCAGAATCCCTAGTGGATGAGGGATTGAGGGACAGGACAGCAATCTAAAACAGATCTGACCTTCACCTACAGCCACCTTGCTGTTTCTTCATCTGTGTTGCCTGGAATGTAATCTCCTAAAATAGGAATGTGACATCTTAGACCCGTTGCAGGGAGGAAGTGACACAGTTCCATTCAATTCTACAAAGATGTCACATTCCAGAAAGTTCAGTGGGAAGGAGACATGAGAGTGAATGGGAACAGAAGGCGTATTTGGCAGTTGAGATAGCTTTTTTTTTTTTTTTTAACAAAGTCAAATGCTTTAATGCCGATTACCAGAGGCTAGGGAGGAAAGGGGAGTTATTAATCAACAGACATGAAGGTTCAGTGAGCAAGATGAATAAGGTCTAGAGATTTGCTGTACAACATTGTGTCAGTACATTAATAATAATGTTTTTCACACTTAAACTTTAAAAGGGTAGATTTCATGTTGTGTTTTTATCATAACATTAAGAAAGAATAACAAAATAATTGATAGGTGTTTCCCATGGGAAAAAAAAGTGTATATCAGTGATACCTTAATAAAAATAATCTATAGCTTTAGGTTTTAAATTTAAATCTGTAATACATTTTGTGTTTATTTTTTTTTTGAGAGGGCATCTCATATTTATTGATCAAATGGTTGTTAACAACAATAAAATTCTGTATAGGGGGGTCAATGCTCAGTGCACAATCATTAATCCATCTCAAGCCTAATTCTCGTCAGTCTCTAATCTTCTGAAGCATAACGAACAAGTTCTTACATGGTGAACGAATTCTTACATAGTGAATAAGTTCTTACATGGTGAACAGTACAAGGGGAGATAGCTTTTGACACTGCTGGTGACCCTCTCCTTTCTGAAAGTATTTCATTCCTTGGCTTAGTCCCCCAGACCATTTTGAGACCCTTCTTCTACCAGCCTGCCTCCTTGATGCAGAGGTTTCCAAGAAGCTACTGAAAATCCTCCTCAATTCCTAGCAAAGAAATGTGCAGATTGCAAATGCTCAGTAAGGCATGAATGGGTGAAACAGAGATTTAACATATATGTATATGTGTGTGTGTGTGTGTGTGTGTGTGGCTTAAAGAAGATGAATAAAACCAGCACCCTTGTACCTACCACCCAGCTAAAAAACTAGAACATGAGTGGTAACTTAGAAGCTCCTCAGGCCCTACTCCAGCCATGTTCCCGCCCCTGCCCACTGGCAGTGCCCTTACTCCTTAATTTTGTGCTAATCGCTCCCTTCTGTGCTGAATGAACTATTTCCATGTATACCCCTAAATAATATTTTGTAGCATAACAATATATTGTCTAGTTTTGCATGTTTCTGAACTTTATATGTTACCTACTCTGTGACTGGCTCTCTTCACTCACCAACTTTTTTTTTAACCATTCAGATTTATTTGTTTTTGTTGTGATAAAGTATATATACCAGCCAACTTAACCATCTTAGCCATCAGTATTACGCTTCTTAAGATTCATTTGTGTTGATGCATGTAACTATTTTCATCAATGTGAGGAGTTCCATTTCCCTTAAAGATTATAGGATCTTGCCACAATAAAAAAATTGGAAGAAGGCATCAAGCTTTCTACTTAATTCTACTCGGTTTTGATCATTTTATTCTTTCAAGGAGTTTCTTTCATTTAAATTTCAAACTTACTGACACAAAGTTGATAATCTTTTGTTTAAATCTCCTTTATGGCAGTCTTAATATTTTCTTCTTAATTCTAACAGTGTTTGTGTCCACTCCCGTTTTATCTAGATCAGGCATGTCAGGTTTGCAAGATTTTCTTTAGCATTTTCAAAGAACCGTCTTGCAGTTTGGTGAGCCTCTCCACTGCACATCTGGTTGCCTTTTCATTAACTTCTGCTCTTAGTGTGTATTTTCTGTTTGTCTCACTTCTCAGTTTCTTCCTGCCTTTTCTTGTTTTCTTTTTAATTAGTCAAGTTATATCCAATACATACAAATACACCCCTTCATTTTTTTCTTCTACAAATTAGGAAGTTTCATGCTGTTTCTGTTCTTTAGTGGACAGACTGATACTGCAAGGATAAAGAAGCTGAGGAATAAGGTAGACACCCTGCCTTTCACCTCAGAATGTCTTGTGTGGTTTTCTTTCCACCCCCACTACCTGCCTAGATTCCTTCCACCTCTTCCCTGGACTAATGTACTAGATGCCTCCAAAGTGGCCTGTCATTTCTGTTCCCCATACTCCACCCCTCACATGGTCTCCAGTTATCTTTCCAACAGCACAGGTATAATCGAGTTGCCGCCCTGCCCACTTACCTTCGTTGGCTCTGCAGCATCGGCCAGATAAAGCCCAGATTCCTTGGCATAGCATTTACTATTTTTTACCCAGCATACGTTTTTTGCCTTCTCTAGTTCCCCAAACCCAACTCTATAACATCATTCATATTAGCATAATTGAAGTTTCCAGAACTAATTCTGTACTTCCCCATTATATTTATTGAATCATAATATTCGTCCCCTTGCACTTACCTACCATGTCCCTTCCCCAGTCTCTGCCTATTCAAATCCCACCAATCCTTTAAAGGCCAGATAAGCCACCTGCCTCACTGATTCTTTCCTTTCCGTTTCTCATTCCCCAAATGGAATTAATATCTACCCCCTCCTGTTCCCTTATCACTATCCCTGCAGTACTGGTGAAGTACTGGCATTTCCAAATGACACAGGCTATTGTGTCTGCAGGTATGTTGAGCAGCTGCCTCCACTGCTAACATACTTTTTTCTTTCATTCAGATCTATGCCCTCAACAGAGTCATGACCGAGCTGGAGCAGCAGCAGTTTGATGAGTTTTGTAAGCAGATGCAGCCTCCCGGAGAGTGAGCCACCCGGGTGCAAACTAGATGGGACCCGGGGCTTTGTGAGCTTGTTACCAGGTTTAAGCTGAGATGGCTCATTTGGAGCCTTACAGAACTAGACCAGAGGAACATCTGCATTATTCCTAAAACTGGATAAATCTGAACTTCTTGTACGTACTTTGGCTTCATTGGTTCCTCCAATCTGAATTGGCCCAGTGCTTGCTGAAGAGACTTGTTTTATTCTGTTTTAAAATGATAGATCAAAACTTGTTTTAAGACAGTAGATTTTTTTAACCTTTTTCTATTGTTTGAGAAAATGTCACTGTTTCTGGTGAAACTGTAAATCTCCAAAAACACAAATAAAATACTAAATAAAATGTTCCTTTGCTCACACTCTGTTTGGGGGTGCCTCACCAGAGAAAGAGAAGCCAGAAAGAATGTACTAGGGAAGAAAAGTTGAGGTGAACATAGGAACCTCTTTTCATTCGGGGGAGGTGGAGAAGAAAGAACATGTCTGCTTCCAGTTTTCCTCCTTCCTGACCTAAAGCTTGCGGACCCTACAGCTCCTAAGCCACACAGGTGTAGCTATGTGGCCCTTTACTCCCAGAGGGGCCACTACTCAGGGTCAGGCGCTTGAAGCTAGGGTTCCTCTCACCCTGTGGCTGTGGACAGCTTGCAGCCAGCTTGCACCGACAGGGAGAGGGGTGTGCAGGTTTTCATTTTGGGGGCTACTTTATTAGGCCTAGACACGGGTTTCTGATGGGAATATGCAGACTGGTTCCTCAAGAACCTCCCGACCCACCTGCCATCTGTAGGTGTAGAAATACAATTTCTGCTGCAGACATTTGTATCAAGAATGGTGGTTCATCTTTAGCCGTAGAGTTATTTAAATGCAGAGCAAAAGGAGAGACTGTTCTTCCAGGATGTTTACTTTCCAGATACTTATTGGGAATAAGGGGAAGCAGAGTGGCAGGAAGCGGAATATGCATGAGGCAGAGCACTCCGCACAAAAGAGCCAGACGCTGCCACCTCCTTTACTGTCCACACTGGAACTGCCTGGATTTTCCGTACCAGTGCAGGGAACGTCTCAAGGGATCTCCATCTCCCCTTTGTCTCCCAGCTGCCTCTGAAGTCACTGAGAATTCTATTTCCATTGCTGTGGTTTATTTTAGGAGTCAACTGGGCATTAATGGGATGTAAGAATCTTGCTACCACCGCAGAGTGTGTTTTTGAGAGCCCAAATTATAATAAAGGATAATCTCTGCATAGATTACCCCCATAAATGATAATTCGTTTCTAAAGCGTCCTCCTGAATTTGAGTTGAATAGGTGTTTCTTGGTTTTGTTTTTTAGAAGGAGGGGTTTGGGGATAAACTGTCATCATAAACCTAAGGAAGTTGTGTAGTATGCTAGAAAGAGCACAGTTTTTGGAGTCAAATAACCTATGGTCGAGTATCAATTCTATGACATTGGATAAATTATTAACCTGAGTCACATTTTTCCCATCCATGTAATGGAATATTTTCTTCCTCTGAGGATCATTTGTTGAGAAATAAGTAAGATAATGTATGTAATAAATGTTCAGTAAATGTTGCTTCCTTTCCCTTACCACCTTGTTTCATGGGAAATGTTTCCAATTTGAAATAACCAAGTAATACACGAACACTGGTTGGAAAGATTCTGCTCCTTAGTTGGGAACTACTTGTATTAACATGTTTGAGCCCTAGATATATTCTGTTCTAGAGAAGTGCTCTAGTATTAACAGTTTTGCAAACTGCAGGTAGCTGCAAAACTAATAAATTATGGCCAGCTTTTCTTCTTAATGAAATAGAACAGATTAAAAACCATCACATGTGTTAAGGATATTGTTTCATGAAGCTTTCATTTCCAATTTAAATCCACTTAGGAATGCATAGTTGGCATTTGAGGTAAAAGTTACTTCTCACTGTGGGTTGTGGTTTCAAAAAAAAAAGTTCAAAACAGGAATGGGACATCTTTTTGTTCACATTTTAAAGAAAAAGACTTTCATCTTCTAACTCAGAAATACTATGGTAAGGGGTCCAGAGGTGTTTGTATTCATAATTGGGTTAGCATTGAATGCTAAGGCTCTTACAAGCATAATTAATGAAAACTAGAAAAACAGAGTTTCTGCTGACCTGCCTGGAATTCCCTAATCCTGACGTAATTCACTCCCAGTTTCTCAGAGGTAACAGATGTTTTTGAAGCTCTGCATCAAAAAATTAATAACGAAAAAACTGACTAGAAGTCAGGATGCCTTAATTTGACTCTTGGGCATACCACTTACTGGGTGAACTTTGGGCAAATTTTAATCTCCCTAAATCAGTGAGTTTCAAACATTATGGTCTCAGGATTCCTTTGTGCTCTAAAAACTGAGGACACCAAAGAGCTTGTGTCTTTTGTTATTTATGTTACCTTGTAATATATTTGTATTATTTTTAAGTGAATAAGTATTTTTAAACATAAGTTTTCTGTGAGAAAAAATACATATTTCCCCAAATTAAAAATCATTTAGTGAGCAGAGTGGTATTGTTTTTACATTTTTTGCAAATCTAACATCCAGCTTAAAGGAATAGCTGGATCCTCATATCTGCTGCTGCATTCTACATTCTCATGTTGTTTATGAAGCATATGAAGAAAATTTGGACTCTGATAAGCAGTTGAAAAAGAAGGGGTCATGTTAATAGCTTTCTTAGATCATCATAGGTGTTCTTCTTTGATACTACACCAAAATTCAGCATGTGGTAGTTTCTTAAAGGTTAGTCGCAACTTGAAATCTGACACAATCTCAGTGAACTTTTTGTACTTTTGAGAACTGCTGACCTTAAGCCCATGGTCACCTACCTCATTGGGTTGTATGGGCATTAAGTGAAATAGTAAACTGCAAGGGATAGTTGGAGGCACATGGGAAGAATTAGATAATGTTAACTACTATTAATACTATTATTTTTAATGGAACAATATATAATGGGAAGGAAGGTTAGAGGGGAGAGGAGCAGACTAACATTTATTTAACACCTTTTACATCCCATTCACTATTGCAGTTATTTTATGTGTCACTGTGTTTAATACACAAAGCAACCCTGAGAGGAAGTAACTCCATTTTACAGATAAGGACATGGGTTTAGAGGGATTAAGCCTTTTGCTCAAGACCACAGAGCTAAAAAGTAGAATTCTCTTGGTTCTGCTCATTAGACACAAGTAGTAGTTAGGAGAAAACTAGACATCAACAGAAGGGAAATCTATACTTCATCCCAAGATTAGAACTAGCAGAGCTGCCTCAAAGCAAAAACTAACTCCTCTGACTTCATGTATTCACCTGAGAAGTGTATTTTTATAGTGTTGGTTTCCCTACTTGTTCTAAGAGCTGTTCTATGTTAGAACATTTTTTTTACATACTTTATCTTAGGACCTATTCTGTTTTAGCTGTTCTATTTTTTATTTGTATTCCTGACTGAGGAAGTCAAGGTGCTGAGTGGTCAGCATTAGCACCCCGAGGCCCCAGAGCAACTGCAGAAGTACAGCCTTCCTCCCAGATACTTAGAAGGAAGCCCGTATCTCCCTCTATTAAATCAAGAGGCTCTCAGCCAACCTATAACTATCCTCACATCACTGACCTAAACTTTTGTTTGAGACAACAAAGTATGAATTATTGTTACAAACAAAGCATAGTTTCCGTATCCAAATGGTATTTCTGTTCTCAAAGCAGTCCTCCTTGGGTCTACATATTTATTCTAACTCTGCTCTTGTGGCTCAAAATGGACACAAAAATCCTCTTTCAAATCCATCTTCCTTTAAATGTAATTGCAAGTTTTAGAAATAGCCAGAAGTCATTTGAAGCCAACTCTGATAATGAATGCAGTTTAACAAGAGGGCATCATTGGCTGACCTTAAATATTATGTTTTTGGACTAGATTTGATTGGTTCTGAGTAGAATAAGTATTTTTTGAGCACCTACTGTATCAAGGCTCTGTGCTAGGTGCTGGCTTCTAGGAGCTCATGTGACGAAAGTTTGCCAACTGGAGCTCCTAAGATATTTTGATAAAGGATAGCGTCACTAAAATGAGGTTCAACACCGAAGGATATAACTGAAACGTCTGAGCCTATGTATATATATGTTTCTAAATTATGTTTATCTTTTTATTATAAAAGGATACTGATGAACATTCAGGTGAAGAGATAACCTAGAGCAAAGTCTGGGAGGGCCCTGAGAGCAGAGGCTTCCCACCCTGTGGAGTTAGAGTGCGGCAGCCTCCCAGTGAGGGCACGTTCACCAGCTGGAAGCGCTCTGAACCTTGACCCCTGTTTCAGTAACTAGAGTCAAAAGACCAAATAGTAGAACAAAAGATTGAGCCCATGTATATTTGTAAGATTCTTATTACATTAAAGTCTCCTTGTACATGACTCATTAGAACGCACACAAAAATCATTTCATCCACAAAGTAAGTATTTTTTAGTGGCAGGTAGTGTGGTAGGCAGCAGAAACACAAAAACCTAAACTGAGGGAGCTTGAAGTCCAGTGGGACACAAACATATTCATGTAAGCATGAAAAAATAGAAATGGTACAACAGAGATATGACTGCGAGCAGTGGGGAAGCAGAGGGCACTCTGTTCCTTTAAAGCCAAATCATAACCATGTGGACTTCATGGGCTTTTTGTTTTTCACAAATCTAATTTTAGATTTAATGCATATTTGCCATATACATTGTTCTACGAGTTTAGAGAAGTTAGACTGGGGTTAAAAAGTGCTCTGGTGCCATATTGAGGAAGGGGTGGAACCAGCCCACGATCCTTTGGAATACCCCCTGGAGGCAGAAAGCAGGCAGTGCTGGGGGGGTCACTGTTCTCAGGGGGCCTAAGTTCTTTGTGAGGTGCAACTTCAGGGTTCCTACAATATATTCTATTTCTCTTCAACTTGGATTTTTAGAATATGAAGAGGCATTTGAGTACCTAGAGCTCAGTATTTTAAAGCTTGGGAAAAACACACACTGTGATCCCGGAATCCAGGTGATGCCCTCAAGCAGCCAGGATGCCTAATCTCGAAGCCAAGCAAAAGGCAGAAGCTTTGACTGTTGAAATACAGAATTTTAAGTTATAAAAAAACCTACACACACTCAAACTGGGCAATGTGACTGTCCTGTGACTGGCTCTGCTCCATAGAGCCCGGGTCTTCAGGCTTAAGAAATGCCTCAGGAACCCCACGCCACCACCAGAGTAATTATGATTGGTCAGGGCCAAGGTGGAGACTACACCAGTCCTTCCCAAGGGATCTGCCTTGGTGCCCAAGGTCACCCAGGGGGTGCAGAACTGGAAATCAAACCCGGCCCAAATTTAGCTTGGATAAAACTCTGTTCTTTGGTCCTAAACAACTGCTGTCCCCAAGGGAAAGAGGAGGGAGAGAGGGCCACTGGCCCATTGTGGATTGCTCTGGATCAAGGCAACGGATATCTAGTGCACACACAATATAGGGACAAGGAAAGATTTAGTGAGGAGAAGGCAAAGCTTGGCCCAACATGCTAGCACAAATCACATGAGGCCATGGGGGTGGGCAGAGCTGTTCAGTTTCTTTGGAGCTGTAGCCTAAGACACACTGCCTTGCCCCACAGAGCATCTGGAAAGAAGATATAGGAGAGTGACCATATCAGGCAGTAAAAAGCACTTAGCCGAAATGGAGACAACAACAGCATGATGACACCTGGAAGAAGAAAATAGGCAAACATTCAATTTTTCTCAAATTGGCTTACGTGTATTTCCACGCCTTACTCTCCCACCCCCATCCTTCCATCCTTCAGTTTTTATTCATAGTGCCTAAGAAACAAAAACCACTGAGAATGAGCCCTGCCTTTAAGAAGTCTGTATGTAACTAGACAATTATCATTTAATGCAACCTCAGGTTCCATTTTTGTCAAATTCAGATCCAAAATTAGTCTTAGCCAAAAATAATTCTAAGTTGCCTAGATCCCTTTAGAAAGAAAGAATATATATATATATAT